AAAGAAATTTTTTTTCTACAAAAAGATTACAAAAGCAAGAAAAATGATGCTACTTACAATCCCAGTGCTATAACAGTTGCTGGCACGTTCAGCAAGAACATCTTGAAATAGTCAACAGACAGGTCACTGTACACCTAGGGAATGAAAAATCAGTTAGGAGTTGGACCAATGAATGGTTCATTCACGGAAGTACTAGGTTGACTCTAATTAGCAAACAGGCTAATGACATTTTCTTGAAATGAGACAACGCACAAGCAGAACAAAAGGAAAAGGAGAAATATAGGTCAAACAGTCACCTTTCTACTGCGGAGACTGCATCTTGGACCCTCAGCTACAATTTCGCTTCCTTCCATCTGGTGAAAAGTTGCAGTCAAAACTAAATTGTATTAGAAGGATATCTACCAGGATACTTGTTTAGTTTGATGGCTTAATATCACTGTTTGGCAAATTTTTCAGGTTTATAAAGTAGATAAGTACATGTTATTGCTAATTTAGAGGCAAATCATTTTAACCCATTAAAACACAAACCTTTAGCCTCAACTTCAGTTTATCAAATTCTTTGTCATTCAGGATTGGTTTTCCACTCACATAAGCCATTGAGGCTTCTAAAAACTTCTGTTCATCTGAGCCTGAAGCAAAAAGGCAAATCAAGAAATTTCTGAGAAATGAAGGCTTATGTCATGAACAGGTATGTTGAAGCTTGAAGGGAAGTTAGACATACTTAGCATGACAACACTGCTTCCTTCCCACATCAGTTCTTCCTTTAGATTATCGAATTCCTCATTGGACATGATAGCTTTTCCCTCATAATAGAATGCCTTTATTGAGAAAACAAAGCGATATTTGCATTATATGGACATGAAATGCTATAAAGTTTTCTCATTTTGGATTCCAAGCAGAATACAAAAAAGAAAAACAAGTTAAAAGATTTGGCTTTCTTACTTGCAGTGCTTGAAGAAACTCTTGTTCCATTTCACCCAATGATTTCTTCTCTTTCTTGTCTATGTTACAATATGGTAGAATTTTACCATCAACAACCTCGCCTTCTTCAACCTTGCCTGTAAAGAAAAACTATATGTACTCATCACCCCAGCTTATCATAATTCACAAAAACTAGAGATGATAAACCCATTGAGTCTAGTGAAACCTTAAAAATTCCACAGTATTTCAGACGATGATCTGAAAAGAGTACACTGTTTTTAATGCCATGGAAAGTATTGGCTTAGAAGTTCTACTTTGTCTAACGATATGCAATTATACTGCTTTACCGATAATTCATGAGCCAGTTCAATGGAAATCACAGTAATCAACTTAGAAGACTACATAAATGCAATCTTAGCTCTACCCTCCAAAGTTTAACCGATTCAAGCAAGTCTATCCAGAGCAATATCTATCCACTTCTACTCACAAATTTACCTTCAAAAGTAAACTGGCATCGTGTAACAATATGGATATTGGTAACCTCAAGGAAAACAAAATCTAAAACCAATTGTGCTAAGTTCCTAACCTTGTTGATCAGCTGTAGCTTTGCTAGGAAGTATGAGCAATCTGTGTCGAACGCACAGTTGCTTTCCATTGGATTGGACACTCATTGAATGAGATGAAGAGAAAGCAATCAAAGGTTTTTGTTTTAAGGTTGGGAATAAGCCAGGGGGTATCAAGGTAAAGGTCAATTTGCAAGCCATTGGAGGGAAAAAAAAAAAATTATGAGAAAGCAAGAACTTAAACACTCTATGCTTTTAGGGTAGATGTTGAATCCGCTGGTTTCAGGTGAGAGTAAAGCTGATGTAGGTAGTGGTGCATGGTAATTCTTCGTTCTGTTCGTTTGTTGGAGGGAAAGAGCTCAAAGATAAGGCAGGGGACAACTGTGTGGAGGGAAATGCAACGGTCTCTTCTTGGTTTGTTATGCTTCTAGAAGATAAATTGATTCTTGATCTTACAAAACCTGCCATGTCATCCTCTGTGTTGGGCATAATCCAGGCTGTTGCCTGAGGTGGGCATGTGACAACTATGTGTTCACATGTGGCCACCCGGTGGGTGCCACGTGGGGGAGGCGGTCCCACTTTGATGGGTTTGGTTGGGCTAGTTTAGGCTTCTGAGTTGTTTCTTTCTACTCCACCAGTTAATCCCAATGGGCACAAACAGTGTTTGGTGAAAATGTGAGGGACAGATAGGCTTTGAAATCAGGTTGAGGGGCAAATGAGGTTTAGTGCTGTAATCCTTTTTCTTTTTTTTTTTTTTGAACCGTGTAT